TCAGGACTTCGTCGCCAAACACCGTCCACCTCCCACGTTGATTGTCGAGATATCGATCTGAGGTGGCGCGAGATGCATCACTCATCATCATGGCCTGAGAGATACGGATGCTCATGAGGACAATATGATGCGGGATAAGCTGGGTAGGATTGCCTTGTTCGACCTTGGATGTGCCTTGGCTGACCGTCCGCTGCCCAGGGATGACATGACTCAGGAGTATCTCGATAACTTTGCTATCTGGCATCAGAATCCTCTACTCCTGGACGTTCCCTTCACCCCAAAGCATGTGCGCTATCTTAAGTCACTCGACTTCGATAGGCTGAAGAAAATCTGGGTATACTATACGTATCCCCAATATGTGGTCGCGGAGTATGATAGAGCCAGACGACGCGAAAGGCTGCGGAGGTCATCTCAGAATCGCCATGCTCAGCATCGTTCGAAGAGCCTCACTAATCCTGGTCCAGTACGGCAGGTGTTCGGGTATCTTGTAACCCCTAAGGGCGGACCAGAGCCTTCGGAGGTGTCTCGGCGAGATGACACTCCAGTGGAAGATAGAAGTGCTCAGGCGCCCCCTCCTATGCGGTTGTCAGTGTCGGCGGCACGGGATACCGCTTCCTGCTCGCCTGGTCCTGAAGGGACAGGCTCATCGCCCAATCAACGATGCGACAGTTCTGATGTGGGAAGTGATAATGCAACTTCGAGTGGGGAGGAGGCGGGATGCTCTAATGACGATTCTGTGTCAAGTCAGCCTAGCGCCCTAGTAAAGGGACGGCCACGTGCTGATACTGTGGCTGTTGGTAAGGCTGATGTGGTCGAGGAGGATGAGAAGACCAAGAATAGTCATGAGACTGCTGATCATGACGAAGTTGGGGACTATGATGAGCTCAGGCTTGTGCCTGCGATCGATATGGTCAACGTGATGGAGGCTAATGTACGATTCCTTCTGAGATGTGCTGAGACCGATAAACCCATGCTATTCGCTGCCGAGGTAGTATACGGGGAGGACTGTAGAGAAATGATTCCCGACACTGGCGCAGTTCCGTTGTCCTGGAGGGGCTGTATTACAGCGGTGGATAAGGCTGTGAGTGTAGGTACTGTATAGTGGCCTTTACGAGCGAGTGTGGCATGAGCTACCTACCGGAGTGCAGGACTTTGATGCCTTAGGAGATGCTCTAGTCGATATCGCCAGTGTCGAGTCTGTGTACGATATCTTCACTGATTGGGATGATAGGCGTACTGGTCGTCGTCATGTGAACATGTTGTGGGCCGGCCCTCCTAGACCGACGCTGCCTCTGTGCAAAGGTTCGGATGCTGCCACCGTTAACAGTGATAAGCTCAGTGTTCCTACGAACAGCGGCTCGATGTCGTGTCACAGCAGCTCTGGGGTGTCCCAATTCGATGGTGAAATTGAGATGGTTGGATTTGATGACGACACTAACGTTGAGGCGGCCGCCAATGATAGCAGCAATGGAGAAGATAAAAAGTCCACAGTGTTGGTGAGCAGTGGAGAAGGAGATAGTCAACAAGGCTCCGGTCAAAAGAAAGGTCCAGTCAACCTTAGCATAGGTAACGTGAATGCCCCGTTGAATTCTGTCCATACCTTTTCGTAGATACCAACCTTTGCTCTGGAGATGATCGGATCGTCTCTGAGGAGTGATGCCTACTCCGCTGCCTTCTGAGTGTAAATATTTATAATTATTCATACTATAAACACCACTATACCTCGATACGATTCGGCGCTGACTTTCATTTTCAGTAACATTGCGCCACCATCACGACTGCCAAATTATAATTTTTCCTATCTAGGTTGTTGCGTTGTTCGCTCCATCCCTCACCTGCTACGTCTTCGAAGAGGTTAGAATGCCGTTGAGAAAAATGAACCTTTCGGAAGACCTTTTTTGAAGCCACACGTAATCTTCAAACCCGATTTCATAATCTGCAGCCTCCAAGAATGAATACACGAACTACCTCCGTTTTAATGGAAATATACCAACGACTCGGTTGCGACTTGTGGAAATCTTCAGTGAATACGAGACGTTCTCCAACGAGTACTGCATCGATAACTCTCTACTTGAATTGACTCTTGCTTTGCTCTGGGGACCGCGTTTCCGTTGGGCTGATGCTGACCCTTTCCCTGCGCCCAGATGCGGACTTAGGTTTTCTGTATATCGTGAAAAGTCGAATTATTTGTTGTCATCACGCATGCATTCCATGCATTGAGAACGTTCACACTATCTCCCCTTATGTGGATTGGTGTACCCGACATTGACACAGTGCCTCAGAAGTCGATGTCGTTCTTATCAGTTTACTCCGAGTAAAGCGCAAGAAGGGACTCTCCAGTACAATATAAATCATATTTCGGCCTTTAGGTGGCAACACCCATCGCTTCGAATAATTATATTCGCTATGTAGCTATTTCTAGTACCAAATGACCATGGTGTTCCCTATGACCTTGAACTTGCCGAAAACTCGACACCTCGCTAATTGTGCGTGTAAGTTATAATGAAATTCCGCATACACGACTTGTACAAGGACTATTCCGACACCGATGCAGTGATAACTCAAAGAAAGACCACATCCGTTAGTCAGCAATGAACTATACACCCTCAGGAGGTGTAGGGAAGCGATCTCCC